TGTTAATTTATCTCTTTATAAAACTTAGGCCTAACATAAGTTAAAGTTTTATGAGATACGGCTTATATATAACTGGATTTACACATTTTGTTGTCTATGATTACAATTCATTTGTATTGTGCTAGAAATGTTATATTTAAAGAAGTACTGTAAAGATAAAGATATTAATTTGGCCGGAAATGTTTTGCGGGTCTCTGCTAGTAAATATATTACTACACTACAGTTAATTTGTTTTCAATGAAAGATAACTTTTCTCCAGATTTTGCACTTTATGAACATTTATTAAAAACATATTTTAGTTAATAATCTTAACTAAAGTACAAAAAATATACAAAGTCTGAACTGCAATCCTATTTAAGTTTTTGAAACTTCTACAATTTGTGGTAGGATGTTTATATAATACTTTTGTTATACTTAATAGAATCTCAATGGCATGTTTGACTTCTGTGCTCTTTGGTTGAAAATAGGCCACATAGAGGGTGCACTTGAAGTTGTTAAGTCATTGAAAGGTCTGTTGTTTCTATCTTAATACAGGAAACTTTTTCTAATCATATCATCATGCTACAATTTCAACTCAAATTCCTTTAATTTCTTCATATTTAAGCTTCTGTTGATTTGTTTGATTCTCAACATTTTCTATCAAAACATCATATTTTCCAATCATATGGAATGAGAAAAGTGTATCTCCAATCATTTCTTTGTATTTGCTACATACGTAGAAGCTAAAACTCTTAGAACTGTCCTCAAAGCATGATAAATAAATACAAAATAAAAAGACAGCTTAGTTTCCATAATGTTTCCCCCACCACACAATTTGAGTACTTGCAAACTTGCACTATGCATGTTTAACTCATCTTAATAACTGACAAAGTCATGTTGATCAAGCATATTCAGTTTTCTTCCTTCAAATATCTATCAATACCCATGTGGTTGAGAATGAAATTACAGGAACAAGTTAGATTTACAACTCCTGAATGACATTTAGGTTTTACTTTATCATGATTGGCATAAATCTACCTCAGCATTAATAGAAAATAATAAGAGTAAATTATTTTTGAGAAAAATTATGGTCAGCAGATCCATACACTAAGAAAAACAAAGCCTTACATACAACAATCATAAATTCATAATAATATGAATGTACTGCACACTTAAGCAAACTATTTGACAAATTATGTGTAAAAAAAAAGAAATGTATGTTTTTTAAGATGAGATCAAAAAACCAAAAACACATAACATTCCACATATGGACTTTTCTACTAATGGTCTGAGAGAGGTTAAGATAATATAAGCAATGTATATTATGCAATGGCAAGTGTTTTTAATAAGTTAAATTTGTGAAAAATTTTTTTCTGTTATAAACTACTCAATTATTTTGAAAAAGATACTGCTTCAGGCGAACAAATTGTGAGAAAAAACATTGTAAAATTGTTTTACTACATTCTATGTGTACTTGTATATTTAAAACACAAATGCTTAAAGATGTTCACCAGAGACATTAAAAGATACAATAATAAAAACAAAACTTACATAAACATGTATATTACTACATATGTACATCTATCTTACCTGGCTCACAAGTGGACACTGCAACTTCACGACTGTGAAGCCGCCCTAATGAGATTTTTCTAGGTGATAAAGTGGGTGGTAGAGCTATTTTCCTGGCACCTTCTCTGTTCATCAAAAATTATGATGATTTACTATACGATAGTATATTTTCTATGAATCATACACATCTAAAATTTATGTAGATAAAGGTTATGCTTGCAAATTTGACATGTTTTATTATCAAAAAGTATGGAAAAAGCATAACTAGAAATTGAAATTTATTAGGTAAGAGTCATAATTTGGATAGAGGTAAAAATATAGATTTAAACAATCTAGTTCTTTAACGTTCAGTAGTAGTTTAATTTTACCTTCTACCAGAAGAGATGTAAAATATCTTCAATAAAAGTTACAATTAATAACATGTAGTCACCCAAGAACAACTGACACGGTTTGGCCTGCTTATCAAATAACTAAGCATAGCTGTCACATTTGAAGTTTCATGTACCATGCCTGTCACCAACTGTGATAGGCATGGTATTACTATTTTAGGAACTTAATGTTATATATTTAATCTATATAATACTATCAATACCTAAAATACATAATGAATTAGCCCATTCTTAATGTTTTAACTCTCTCAACACATAATCAGTTAATTTGACTGACCACGTGACCTTTTTGTACTCGTTTAAGGTCTTTATAGATTTAATACTACTAACTTTTAATATGGTAAGTATACCTTCACAAAATTTTGCTGTCTTTCAGTAAACATTATAAGTCTTTCATGTATAAAAAATCACATGTTTTGTGAAGTATTTTAAATAAACTAAAATAAGATTTGTCTGTGAATCTATCGAGTATTTGTTTTGAATAGTCTGTGTGCAAAGTGATTTTCATGTTATGATTAAAAATACCTGTCTTCATCTCAAAAATCTCAAATTTCATTTGTGTAATC